TTACACTAAAACTTATAAAAAAACATAAAGCATGCACATGCACAAAACTTTTGCAGGTCCTGGATCAATAATTAAATTGCCAAGAGCTCAGGGCAGTACATGGATCTTTTGTTTGCTTTGTGCCTTTTCATTAAAACTTACAGCAAAGATAATCGTGCTAAAATAAGTTGAACCATACACAGGAGTCTAAAATTTCACCCACTGAGCTTCAGTGTGTGGGGGAAGGAGCACATGATAGTGCAGTGTAGTGCAATCTAGTCTAACTTTGAGACTATTTTTACTTTTGAGGTCATTTTATTGCTTTAGTTTCTGTACTGAAATACAACAAGCTAAAACCTACAGAGTATTAAAAAATCAATGCAGCAGAGCCAGAGATGTTTTTTATTACACACAATCTTCTTCCTTATCAAAACCTGGCGCCTACATTACCCACAGTGCAACTCATTGCGGTCAGATATTTGAAAACATTATCCTAGTAGCGCCTTGAGCTACTATCCACAAGCAGAAATTATTTCCCAAATATTGACTGATCCCTGGAAGAGGTTTGCTTTGCATACATGGTGTAAGATAAACCAACACTGCTGGATGTGATCAGATTGAATTATTAGCTGTGCACAGGAACACAAAACATGCAGTGTTAGATATAGATAAGTTCTTTGCAAAAGAGAAGTTGCATTATATCCTTGTCCAAATGAGCAATAAGCTTGTACCAAGTAAAGTATCTCAGTCTCTACAGAGGCAGTGGTGAGCCCAGTGTCTCCGGAGCAAATATGATGAGGGGCATCTCTTTGCAGATGCAGGCTTGGGGTTACAGCCAAGGTTTACTTTTGCCCCATTAGGTCAGACCAGTGAAGAACTTGAGATAATCAGAGGGGCCACTGGGGTGCTCAAGTACCACTCTGGTAGAACATTAGCAGTGTTGCAGTAAAGCTGGAGAGCGTTTACCTGAATCTGAATGGAGTATCAGGTGTCCTTACTGAAGCCAGAGCCTTTCAATTACCTAATCGTGTTTATTTAGGTTCAGTTTTCCAACACAAAAGTATTATTGCTAATATTATTATGTATCTAAATAACCCATTAAATGTTTTATATCACTTTTTATAATAAACTAAATGGCTAATGTTGAAATATTCTACTTTTATTAGTGTTTTGATCTGAAAGCAGCTATATTGCATACTTTTCTAATACAGTAGTGTAACAAATGTGAAAACGATGTGAACAGTTTTGCTTGTAGTGATAAATCTAGAGAGATTTGACACATTCTGCAGTTTCTCTCAGCTTTACACAAGTGTGAGCTCAGTGTTTCACTGTACGGCCCAAAATGTTACCGTTTTGATTTATTGTCATCGGTCTTGTTGTTTTCAGCTGAAGCCGACAGCAGCTTTCACTAAATCTCCACCTGCTCTGCACCAAATGAGAGACATCACATTGCCACCCCAATATATCTGGAAAAACAATTTACTATTCAACATAATTTCTAGAAGACATGCTTGCAGTAGATCAGTGTGGTTGCAACATGCATTCTACGTTTGAACTGGAGATTCTCTTGTGCAGTTCGACACTGTCTGCCATATGGCAAGCAAGTTAAATGCATGTCAGTGCATTCTGAGCTGAACATGTTTTACAAATCATAGAACAGAATTTACTGCCGTGATGCTGTTCGGTCTTTGTACATATTCATAAATGCAACCCCTAACGCTGTGATTACTCTGTTTTCTAAGGTTTCAGACCAACCACGTCCAACAAAGATGTAACAGACTGATGTTACAACCTGTGCTAGATGGAAGGTTTCTGACCTAACACAAAGATCACATCTTATACACCTCTGGTCCATTTGAGGATCTTAGCATGCTTTGAGATGGGATGATTATATTAAATTTTTCACCACTGAGGGAACATTTTTCCTTCTCTGCTGCACGTCGTTGCCTTTTTGTTTGACATTTTTATGCAGGCTGACCAGTTTCTCAGCAGCGCAGTGGCCTGAGGATTCAGGGGCTGTTTCTGTCTAAATATTGTATAAAGTCATCTGCAAAAACTGAGATGAATTAAACCCCTGAAGTACAGTGTATCACAGGACTGGACTCCATCTTTTTGTCACATCTACAGACATACAGTAGGTTTGCTAATGCTGTTTGCATTAGCTTTTTTTCTTACTTGCTCAAATATTAATAATATTGAACCTCTAAAGACCAGCAGTAGTCTGAGGAGACTCAAGTAATGTTACTCCTACTGGCATATGTATATTTGTCCAGAGTATTTTTGGCTGTTTAATAAGCATGGCTATTGTTTGTCTCACAGATAATTAGTCATCTCTGGACTGAAAGCTTTTGCATTAGCATCCACAGACTGTTATGTGATGTTCAGCTTGTTTGCAGTCTTTGCTGAAGACTTTCACATTCTCCTGTTTGTACTTTACTCTGTACATTTCTGCATGATATATTTCATGTTTATTGAATACCTTTAACTGCTGCTCCACCTTAAATAATCAGTTCACCCAAATTACCACAAATGTATTTTCTAACTTAAGTTACTGTATAAATTGCATCGGTTGCATGGTCCCTGATATACCTGTTTGCAAGTCTAGTTATTATTGTACTTTGTTAAGGTTGAGGCTCTTGCAAGTTACACATTAAAAAGAAGAAGACAAGTACTTGTTTCCTTGCAAGTTACACATTAAAAAGAAGAAGATGACAAGTACTTGTTTCCCTTTATTTCCCTTTTTTCCCCTACACAACTGAAATTTCTTGGCAAGACACATTCTCTAAATTATATGTAGATCATTTAATAATAGTATCACATACAGTATGTTTTGGGCCCTCTTCTTTTCTGTTTTATGTTTATGTTGAAATGTGGGTGAGAAATTTGCCACTGAGCCATTGATGTTAAGGGCAGGCCTTTTTGTTCTGCTTTCATGTAACAAAGGTTACAGTGTTGCTTGGGCCACAAATGGCAGATCCCCCTGGGTAATTACTCAGTGACATGTTGTAGTTGAAAGGGCATTTAATATTATTTTTCTCTAATACGATGGGGGTTGTAAAGGTTATTTCATTTTCCAGCACTCAAACCTGGATGGGTGAGGTACTACTGAGACACCACTACAGTGTTGTTACTATAATAACAGATAGCATTAATGTTGACCCTGGAGACCCATCATTATTTTTATTTTTCAAATACTGCATTTAACTGTGAGATGCTGCTCTTTATTGGGCTAACAGTAGATTAAATCTTTTACAGAGACAAATAATGCACACCATCAATATTTATGCCTTTCCCCTTTATCTTATTTATATTTCTAAACTGCAGTGAAAAGGATTCATCCTAACAAGTGATGTATGAGCACTTGCACCAGTCTCATTTCCAGGCATAATGAGATTCACCTGATGCAGAAAAATGATGACAAGCAGTGAAGCTGGGAGGAAGCTGCCCTCGTCTTGACCTGTGATTTGTTTGGAAAACTGACAGCTCATGATGTGGTCACTGAAGGTTTAATATATCAGCCTCGTCCTTTCTGAATACCTCTGTCACAGCAGCTCATTAAAATTAAACATTTATAGTTGTTGTGATGTACCAGTAACTGCTGATGATCTCTTCCCTGCAGCCTCTCTTTTTCCATTTATAACTGCCTTGTGGTAGACTGCTGCCTGTTTGCATTTCCTGACCTGTTAGCTTCCCTACTGAAACACATTAGAGTATGACTGTAATAATTACCCGCAGACACTTTTATAATCTTTATTTCTTGTGGCTGAACTCAGCATTTTGTCCTGTAAAGAGTCAGTTTGCATTTGAAAAGTACTGCCAAAGTTCAGAGACAACACAACCTAAACTACCTAAAAGATATGTATGAGCACTTCTATTAGTTCTTGTAATAAAATGTGCTACAAAAATAAATGTACCTTGTCTTAACAGGAAATTAGAACAACTTCAAGGTTCACAAACTTTGATAAAACTCCATTGCAATGATTTCTATTCCTTGGGTTAACTGACTATAAGAATATAGATGTAATCAGCCAGCTATCCGACTGACGTGATGTGAACTCAGCACTTTGAATGACTGTTAAGTTAAAACTCTTTCACTGTGATTCAGCTCAGCCACATGCAGCCTCTGAGTAACTTTCTTGCAATCTTGCACAGTGTGGTGCTGATGAGATTCGTGCATTTGATGAGTCAACTGTAGGCATTTAAAGTGTCAATATATTGAGAAAATATTCTACCTCTTGTGCTAAAATGTTTACAAATATGCAGCTCAATGTCGTAATGAATGCAACAACCTGCTGAAAACATAATACATTTTTTGTTTTTAATTCTTCTTTTCCAAACTTTAGGACTCACAAATAACAAATGAATGAATAAATAGTGAATATTTTGGATTGAATGTTAGGACCTGCCCATATTTGTGACTGCCACCCACCCCAGTGAGTGTTGGTGGGAATATAAAGTACATTTTCCAATTGTTTTACCTTTTCTTGTTCAGGGGAAACATTTGCATGAATATTTGAAAAGCATGAAAGTAAGAGCAGGGATATATGGTGTATTTAATGATAAAAAGTTCACTTTTTTCATCTTTCCCTGCATACAGAGGTGAGTCCTGAACAGTGGAAGCTGTTTCTTCTAAATGTGGTAAAATAAAAGCTGAGATATCACAGTACAAGCTGTTTACAAAGTATATACACTTCATCACAGCTGAGGGTGATGAACTGACACTTAACCTGTACCTGGCAAACAACTGTAGGTGTTTAATGTAAAAGAAGAAACAGTGAAACAACTGATACTTTTCATCCACTAAAAAAGCCTTCCCTGCCTTGTAGACATTTTATGAGACAACATACAATATAAGTATAAAGTAATAAAGAAGCATTTACTCAAGTTCACCTGGCCTACTAAACCTAATGAAGTGTTGTTCCATCCGAAGTGATAAAGCTTTGTGTCGGATTAAGCATCGAACAGCTGTACCCAGTGTTGGCCTGTAGAGGGCAGTCGGCAACCTCTACAACCTTCTTCCTGCCACAGGAAGAAGCAACAGACATGTGACATTTAACAGGAAGTAAATAAACTGCCTTCCCGCGTACTTGAATTGTTTCAACAAGACGTTCATATTCACGGCTAATCGGATGAAATGGACGAACTTTATTTAGATAATATTGACGAATTTGTAAATGACCACAACAAAATAGTAAGTGAACTTTTGCGCCTCTAGTTTCGATGCAGTTCTAGGTGCGCTTTTAGCAGCTCATGATAGAACCGTGTCAGCCTCCTTGTAAATAATCACTGAATTACATTAAAGAAACTCTATATTTAACGTTTGCATGATTATTGGGCAATATATTTACCAGGCAGGGTAAACTTAACAATTTCATCTGATTTATTTGGCTATTGTGTATAATTCGTTGTTGTCGCTAAAGACCTAACTTTAGCTAATAGCACTTAAATTCAACAAAATCTCAGGTTTTAGTGTTGAATAACATTAACCCATGTTACTGCTGTTAGCCACCATCAGCTATATTTTTAAACAGTTGAACGTAGAAGGATTTATCATAGACCGATCTATCAAATGCCAATCATGAGTTAAATTTTTAATAAGGTAGCTGAGAGTGCTGGATATATATCGATTAAATAATGGAAATCTAAAGTTTATAACGAATGCAAGTTAGCTTGGTAGGCTTAGGACACACTTCTTAATATAAACTAATTCTGGGAAATTAAACAATTTGTTACGATGTATTTTATTTTACATTTTTATACTGTTTTTTGTTAGTTAATGCTTTGTCCAAGTAGCAAGTAAAATGTGAATCTGTAATAACACGTTAAAATTCTTTTTCTGTGTAATAGGTGACTTATAAATGGCTGAGTCTAACGCTGGGAGTTCATGTCAACACAGCAAAGCAGTGAGTATTAACCCTGTTAAGGCTTTTGGTATATCAGCTATGCAGAAATGGATACAAACATACAGCATTTTGTTTTCAGCAATGTTATTATTTACATCAGTAAGTGCTGAACAAATGAATAAAAATGATAAAAAATATGATTAGGTGCCAAATCTTTGTACTGGGCAGTTTTCAAAACCACTGGAGACACATTTGTCAGTACCTAAAAAATATTTCACCACCCAGCCTTACATCTTCCTAGCATCTTGTTTGGTCTAATATTGTGAACTTTCATGGGCCCCCATTGGATTTCAAGTCTATTAGATGTTGTAATACTGTGTGATTTTGTTTGTTGCTTCCCAGTGTTCCGATATTGTTTTTGTCTTTATTGCTGCTTGGCTCCATAAACTACACTATATTTAGAGGATCATGTGCCTTATTCTCAGAATGCTTTACCATTACCTGGATCACAAGAGGAAAGAAAGTTCAGCTCAGCTCCATGCCACCTATCTCGTGTCTGGGAAGTTTGTGCACAATGGTCAAACAGTGAGTTACACCATAAATAAGCTAGACGTGCTGTGGGACTGACAGGCTCTTCTTTTGATTTCAGAGGTTGTTTTTTTTTAATGTTTTTAATGTTGTGCTTCTTTCAGAGTTACAAGGTGTCAGTTGTCAGAGAGGACCAGTTGGAAGGTGAGTAAATGTGTTTCCCAGATCAGCAGTGTTTACACTGCAAACTAAAACTAGATATGCTCGTGTTCTTAAGTGTGATTTCTTTTTCTTAATTTTTAAATATGGAGATATCTGTAGTAGAAGAAGCAGAGGTGTCTGACCTCAGTTGTTTTTTCTTTTGTAGATTTCAAATCGAAAATGAGCTTGATAGTCAGCATCCATGTCTACAGTGTTCAGAAGGCTTTACTAAAAGACAGCGGTCCCCTCTACAGTGTCGATTACGATGCAGTGAAAGACAATCTGAAGAACTGCAGCAGGTACGTTTATTGTATTGTTAGGTGCATAAAAGTGCCTAGTAATCAGTGTTTTTACACAGATGAGGAAAAACCTTTAAAATAAAAGGTAGCTGCAGGGCATATAAACAAACAGTAGTAGTCTCAAGGAGAGAAAAAGAAAAATCACCAGGTGAATTGTAGGACAGCCAGTTAGAGAAGTGTTGGATTATCCTCTTTGTCTTACAGATACAGCGCAATCCGCTGTGCCAACGCGGTACCCATGTCCTCTCTGGAGCTGCAGCAGGTGAGAGAAAAGCAGTGGGGTCCCACACCCGAGCCTGAAAATCAAAAATCTGCCACGAATGGAGACACCAGTCAGATGTCAAAACCTTCCTCTAAGCCTCAAAAAGGAATCATGGGAATGTTCACAAATAAGGCTACTCCTAAGAATCAAGACAGCAGCAAAGGGGTTACATCAGAGCAGAAAGAAGATACACCTGTGGTATGGGTTTTTTTTCTTTGACAGAAAAATAAATATAGATTAAAAAATATAATGGTAGTAGAATGATTTCTGTAGATGCTTAAAAATGTGTATTTTATTTTAGGTTGATGCTGCCAAAAGCAAACCAGCTGGAAAGTCCAATCCAATGATAAACTTCTTTGGCAGTCAAACAGCAAGTGAGTAATATGATCTGAGCAGTGATTTACATAAATTCAGTCTCAGATTTTGGTGATTTGGTATATTTGTACAGAGATACCGGCATGTACCAGACCAACAGACTGCCACCGTTTCACTTTTGCTGTGATTCATCGTTTACATAGGCAGTAACTTTTTCTCTGACACACTTGTATGCACGGTCCGCTACCCATGTATATTTATCATCGAAGCTGTGTTTACTCTTTTGAAGCTTGACAGCATTTATAGCCTACATAAGGATGTTAATGAAACATAAAAATGAACTGGAGTGTAAGTTGATGTTGATCTAACTGTAATATGGCTCATTTTTGGGCTTTACTTTGTTGAGGCAGGTGCAAATGTGTTAGAGCTGTGATGAAAGGGGAAAAGCCACAAGGGTGGATTGTTAATATATATGAATGTTGTTAGCAGCCCCGATGGCCAATGCCCTTTGATCACAAACTTTTCCAACTAAACACTTTTGTTTCACATCTTCAGAGAAACCTGACAAAAAAGTGAAGGAGGAGGAAGCAGCTCAGTCATCATCCGCATCAGAGCAGCGGCATCAGAGTTCACAACCTGAAGCAAAACACGAAGCTGTTGCAGCGGAGCTGCCAAAAGACACTAAGAGAGACTGCAGGAGGTGTGTGCTCCATTGAAAAAGGCATCATTGTGGATTAGGGATGTACATTTTCAGTTTTTTTCTGACCGATAGCCGATGCTTGTAAACCAACCATGAACCTATTGACAGTGGTTGAGTGTCTGTGACCCATAAAAAAAAAGGCCTTTGCCCATAAGGTGTTTATTTTTACATGTGTAAATACGGCATAAACAACAGAACCGAACACACATCATCACACCACAAACTTGTGGAACTGCCTAGTAAAATAGCCTCTGACCTGAGGCAGCTCACATTACTTTAGATGTGGCCCATGAATGTTCCTTTCAGAGTACACCGTCCAAAGTAAAAGACACCACTCTCAGCCTATATGTCTCTGAAAACTGCTCCTCCTCACTGGGAGGAGAAATACAGGACAGAAAAAGATCAGAAGATGTCAAAATTTTATTTGGAATTAGTTTGTTGTATGATCAGAATTGATGTAACAAAATTTAATGTGATTATTGATTATTCAGGACCACCTAAACTTGAACTTTTGTCACTTCTCAGGGAGCGAAGCTCTCTTTTGGTGGCGCTCTTTGTCACCGCCCAACGCTCAAAAGTTTCATATTTGTAGTTTGTGCTGGTAAAGAGGAGAGCACAGAGGAATTTCTTTACAGATTAATGTTTTTTTTGTGTGGGTAGAAATGTTTTAGAATGGTTTTCACTAGTTTTGTAAAATGTTTTTAAAGTGACATCTAAGTAAAAGTCTCTTTTTGTAGTAAAACCAAACGAATAAAGGATTCTGACAGTGAAGAAGAGAAAGTGGAGAAGAAAAAGATGCGAAGGATTAAAAAGCCTGAACCTGACAGCAGTGATGAAGATGGTGGGCCATTCACTTGTTTTTTTCAAGAATTTTATATCTACCCAAACAGGTCTAAAATGCTTGTAATTTGAGTTATTTAATTCTAGACTAAACACCAGAGAGAAATGGCCAGATTCATCAATATAAAAATATTCAAGTCCATGAAAATAGGGCATTGTATATAAAAAGGGAATGTTAAGCAAAGTGATAGAAAACTAATATGTGATCACCTCTTCAGTTCTTCCAGATTCACCACAGCAGATGGAAACAAGAGAACCATCACCGAGTCCCAAAAAGGAGGTCGAGTCTTGTTTCACACTCACACACAAGTGCTCATATTGACACAGGACTGATGTGTAGTAACTGTGCAGAAAATCTCATCTGTTTATTCTTCTAATAGCATTAGATGAGATGTATTCAACACTGTAATCATTCATGTCTGCATGTATGTACGTATATGAATCTACAGCAGAGTCACCCTGAAATGAAGACGAGGAAACGGAGACAAGTCCTTAAATCTCGCACCTTTGTAGACGACGAAGGATGCATTGGTATGAAAAACAGATACTTCCTTTTACAAATAAAACTTTATTTGTATTTTATAAGTCTCATGACAGTATGACATGAAACAAATATTACTGATTCATCTGCCAGAAAACAAAATAGCTGTCTAAATCTCACTTCCGTGCAGTAGGATTATTAGTTTGGTTGTTCTTCATCATTTAATAACTCTGGTTTGTCTTGTTTTTCTAGTGACAGAGAAAGTATATGAGAGTGAATCATACTCCGAAACAGAGGATGACGTTCCAGCCAGCAAACACACTGCGAAAGATCCCAACCCAGCAAAACTACCAGCAAGTAACAGAGAAGATAAGAAAAGTCAGAAAAAAGCTTCAAATACAAACAAAGGAAGTAAACAAGCTTCAATTATGGGATTTTTCCAAAAGAAATAACAGAAGACATAATCAGACACTTGGATCGACATTAAGGAACAAGTACTGGTACAGATTTCCTCTAATGATCGTACCTGACTCTCAGCGGATACTCATCAGATTTTTGAACGTACTGTTGCCAGTTTAAGATGTGAATTCAAGACCAACCTAATAAATACTGTTCAAGCCTGAAACAAAACAAATGATGTGTTGGAAATGATTGACAGGGTTACAGTTTGAAAATGGTGCCTTTTGCGACACAGTATGTAATTCAGCTGTTTTAAAAATGATCATCCTCTAATTATAGGCAAAATTAGCATCTTTAATATTGACTAGTCAAATTGTGAGTGGATGCACTGATGTTTGAATGATTTTTAACTCAAGTCCTGGATTTTACCACTGTATGTACAACACTTACAGACGTGGACAAAAATGTTGGTACCCTTCTGTTAAACAAAGACAAACTCACAATGGTCACTGAAATAACGTGAAACTGACAAAAGTAATAATAAATAAAAATTTTCTGAAAATTAACTAATGACAATCAGTCATTGCTTTTGAATTATGGTTCAACAGAAGCATTTTAAAAAACAAACTGATGAAACTGGCCTGGACAAAAATGATGGTACCCCTAGAAAGGATTGAAAATAATTTGACCACAGAGACATGTTAAACTAAAGTGTGTCCTCTAATTAGCATCATAGGTGTTGTCAAACTTGTAATCAGTCAGTCTGCCTATTTAGAGGGTGAAAAGTAGTCACTGTGAAAGCTAAGGAAAGAGTTGTCTCAGGAGATTAGAAAGAAAATTATAGACAAACATGTTAAAGGTAAAGGCTATAAGACCATCTCCAAGCCAGCTTTATGTTCCTGTGACTACAGTGGCACATATTATTCAGAAGTTTAAGGTCCATGGCACTGTAGCCAACCTCTCTGGATGCGGCCGCAAGAGGAAAATTGATGACAAATTGAAGAGACGAATATTGCGAATGGTAACCAAAGAGCCCAGAACAACTTCCAAAGAGATTAGAGGTGAACTCCAAGGTCAAGGTACATCAGTGTCAGATCGCACCATCCGTCGCTGTCTGAACCACAGTGGACTTCATGGAAGACGACCGAGGAGGACTCCACTGTTGAAAGCAAATCATAAAAAAGCGAGAATGGAATTTGCCAGAATGCATATTGCCCAGCCACAAAGCTTCTGGGAGAATGTCCTTTGGACAGATGAGACAAAACTGGAACTGTTTGGTAAATCACATCAGCTCTATGTTCACAGATGCAATAATGAAGCATACAAAGAAAAGAACACTGTACCTACTGTGAAACATGGAGGAGGCTCAGTTATGTTCT